AGCCAACTTGAGGGAATACTAAAGTCCATAAGGAATTAACAGCTTGATCAGAGTTGAACATGCATAGACTCTATAACATATCCTGAATAGTACAAAAATATAAATTTGACTAAATTGTAAGCTATAATAATAGAATCATGAGCCAGTAAAATATCATAAAAGTGACAGTCCCCTAGAACTGCATTCATAAGGACCTACCTTAAGCCCATTGGGCTTGGGAGCCAACCTATGGAGATACTCAATTTTATAAGGAATTACTAATTTGATCAGAGTTGAACCTGGAACTTCAGAATACATCCTAGAGTGTACCCCAATATAACAGTTTCATATAGTAAGCAGTAGGGTTATAATTCCATAAATTATACATATTTATATTTTTCAGTAAAAACTAGTAACTAGGGAACATGTATCAAGCAAATATAGTTTATAAATAGTAAATCAAGAATCATGATATCGATGGAATAAAACATTTATATTTCATAATAGGTAAAACAATTATATAGCACTCAAGGAACACAACATAGGATCCAATTATTTTTCAGAGGCACTTGGTAGTTATCAGGAAAAGAAAACATGTAACTTTTGTACATTGATTGGATTTTAGATATAAGGTCCCTATTAAAAAGGTTTGATTACTAATAGATTTAATCAAACACTTTGAATTTGATGTTTCAAGACCATTTAGGATTCGAGTGCGTCCAGAAGGTATTTAGGAACTTTTACATCAGAATTATTTATAACTTGGATATAACAAGAACTATTTAATCATTCAGGCTATTAGGGGCATTTTAGATATTTTGATTTTTGAAGAATTATTAATAAAATTAATCAGATAAGGGTAAAATGATGATTTGCATTATTTCAAGATTTAAATCAAATTATCAGGATTTCGATTCAAAACAAGCTAAACAGATCCCTGTGTTACGCTAATTGCCAATCGTTCAAACTGAGATATTTTACAAATATTTATTTCTTAATATTGAAGGCATTATGTAGTTGAATAAATCACGTTTAGAACCATCATTGAACGTATCTTAGAGAGACGAATGGGTATTCAACTAGTATTTATTTTATTTTTGTATTGCAGTAGTATCAAAAATTACCAACATGCTTGGGTCATGTTCCATAACCTCTATGTTTTATATGTGTATTAATAATTTTTGTAATGGCATTCCCTTAATTCAAATCACAATGTATTTTTGTTATTTTAGTACTTGATGTTATTGTAGTCATTTTAGGGCTCGAGGTTATTTTGATCATTTCATTTGATCTAATCGTATACATTATTTCTAGTAATTTTGTGTTCGGGTGTTTAATCAATAAATCATGAATTTTGAGTCTTTTACCCTCTCGTAGGTCAAAAACTAACTACAAAAAATTTTATAAATATATGAGGGATTTATCAAGTAAATCAATAATTTGTTTTTGGTCGAAGACGGATCCTCATGTCAATACCATTATTAGGGTCAATTCGGATCACTTTTACCTCTTAAGGGTAATTTAGTAATATCTTATCCTTTTATTTCAGGCATTAAAACTATTCAACAATAAATATCAGCATCTGAGAATTCATAGATTAAATGCTTTATCGATTAATCACTAAACTTGTAGTTATTTCTTTTCAATCTTTTAGTCATTTATACGAGTTATCTAAGTCTTATTCAGTTTATTAACTTTTTACAGCATGTCATTCGAGTTTAGAAATAATTAACTATACGAATATGACAAATCATATTCATTCATGTATTTACCAATACTAATGGGTTCCAAAAAGCACAAAAAAGTAGTAATGTATTGCCTCGATTCCTGGTCTACATTGGTCGTTCTATGGACTCCTTTCTATCGCTCTCGAAGTCCAAAAGTATCTTGGATGCATAACAAAAGAAACTACATCAAAAACTAAACTTAATCACGAAAAACAAATAGAACTAGAAGGTAAAATGCTCCAAAATAGCTTACTGGGTTTGGATTTGGAAGAACGGACCTCAAAATGGACTTAGGATGTTGAAAAACATCAGGGTAGGTGGTCTCGAAGAAATTCAATCTAGTCAACGGCTTGGCCCAGCTCACGGTTTGGCTCGACTAAATAGACTGATTATCTTGGCTCAGGATATATGAACCGGTATAGACCGGTTCTAAAAGTTTTCGAGACAACAGATGAAGCTGACGCCATGGTGGCACATGGGGTGCGTGTTGTGGCTCTAGTGGTCAGACGACAACCAGATTTCCCTAAAATACGAATCGAGCTATTCTAAACCTTGTGTCATGGTTAGTATACAAGGGAGTATGACGGAGATGACCCTTTTTAAAGCATAAAGACTTCATTCTTTTCAAAAACTTACATGTCGACGATGAAGTTAGAATCGGGACCATCAATAGAAATAGAATTATGAGAGGAATCCATTGACATCAGCTTTATCAATTACCGATGGCTCATTGATGATGAAACGACAAAAATAACGAGGCACTACAGAAAAATGGGTTAATAGCGACATTTGTAGCGACATTTCTAGAACAAACGCCGGTAAAGACTCGTATTATAGCGACGTTTTAATAAAAACGCCGCTAAAGACTAATTTAGTGGCGTTTTTGTACAAACGCCGCTATAGTACGAGTCTTTACCGGCGTTTTTTATACAAACGCCGCTATAAACTCATTCTATAGCGGCGTTTTTACAGAAACGCCGCTAAATAATTTACTTTAGTGGCGTTTTTATACAAACGCTGCGAAAGACTGTAATTTAGTGGCGTTTTTAGAACAAACGCCGCTATAGACTCGTGATTTAGTGGCATTTTTATACAAACACCGCTATAGTACGAGTCTTTAGCGGCGTGTTTTATACAAACGCCGCTAAATACTCGTACTATAGTGGCGTTTTTATATAAATGCCTCAAAATAATGTACTTTAGTGGCGTTTTAAGCATAAACGCCGCCAGATACTCGTACATTTTAAAATTAATTTTAAAATTAATATTGACCAGTAGACTCAGATCTTCCCCTTTTTTTCCTTTCCCGATTCCAAGTAAAATGCAAATGTCTCCGTTCCTATCAGAAAACGGCGTCGAAGGAGACGACGAAAGAGAAGAAGAAGACAAAGACGTGGACGACGATGAAGAAGAAGAGGGTGATGAAGAAGAGCCGAGGCTTAAGTATCAAAGAATGGGAGGTAGCATCCCGTCCTTGCTTTCCGGTGATTCCGCCTCGTGTATCGTCGTCTCCGAACGCATGATCGCACTCGGAACGCACAACATAACCGTTCATATCCTCGACGTTTTGGGAAATCAGGTGAATTTTCCTTTCATTTCGAATCTTAATTTACCATTTTATTTTGGTATTTCGCATTTCAGTACATTTCCTTTTAATTCACATTTTCAATGAATAATTACATATTTTAGCCAAAAATGTACACAATTTTGGATAAGTTAGTTAAGTTAATCTTTTAGGTTTGTTTTGTAATTGATTGTATTTTGTAATTCTTAAGATTTTTATTTGGTTGATTTTAGGTTAAGGAATTTGCTGCTCATTCACTGCAGTGAATGACCTTAGTTTTGATATAGAAGGCGAATATATTGGAAGCTGTTCTGATGATGGTTCTGTTATACTGCATAGTCTTTTCACTGACGAGAAATTGAAATTTGAGTATCATCGTCCTATGAAGGCCATTGCACTTGATCCTGATTATGCAAGAAAATCATCTAGGAGATTTGTAACTGGTGGCTTAGCTGGCCACTTATATCTTAATACCAAAAAGTGGCTTGGCTATAAGGATCAGGTTTGTGGCGCTCGACTGTTTAGTATATTTGAGAAACTATATTTTTATGAATTCTGAATGTTGTGTATTTAAATGTGTTTTTAGGTTTTGCACTCAGGTGAAGGTCCAATCCATACAGTGAAATGGAGAACGAGTCTCATTGCTTGGGCTAATGATATGGGAGTAAAAGTTTATGATGCTGCAAATGATCAACGGATTACATTTATAGAAAGACCAAGAGGGAGTCCTCATCCTGAAATCTTGCTCCCACATTTAGTGTGGCAGGTTAGTCAAAAGATTAAAATGGAAAATATCTGCAGTTGTTTCAAACTTTCTTATGTTGTCTAAACTCTAAACAGCTGCAATGTTATATGTTGTTATTCATTTTCTGGAGTTCACTTATCCTACTAATCCTAGGCCCTAGTCTTTATGAAGCATAGGTTGTTTGATCATTTATACTGTTGCTTGTTGTCTGAACCTATTCAGGATGATGCCTTATTGGTGATTGGCTGGGGAACCTATGTGAAAATTGCATCAATAAGATCAAATCTGAACAAGGGCGCCAATGGAACTTATAAGCATGTTTTAATGTCTAACATGAACCAAGTAAATATTGTGGCATCATTTCAGACTAGCTTTTACATATCAGGAATTGCTTCTTTTGGTGATTCTTTGGTTGTTCTAGCCTATATTCTTGGTGAAGAAGATGGATAAAAGGAATTTAGTTGCACAATACCTTCAAGACAGGTATGCGTCCTTTACAGTTTTGAAAAAGCTAAGTTCCTTGTCATGGTGTACACCCCCTATTTTGAGGCTTTTTGTGCTATCATTAGTGCATTATATGTTTCTGTTCCTGCAAGTTTACCAATTTATCTTTATGGTGTGACTCCATTCTTGACAGAAGCCACGACAATGGTTACTGTAACTACTCTACATTGTTGCTCTGCTTTGAACTTTTAGGTTGTACTTATGATTGTGTTATTCATATGAGGCCAGTCTTGTAAATTCCGAAACTGATTTTTTTTCCTTCCAAAATTTTACTACTTGGGTTGACACATTTATCTATGTTAGATGCATTGGAAAATTCAATCAAAATTAAAGTGATAAAAAATCGCTCTTTCTATTTAATAAAATTGTTGGGGAATAAGAGCAAAAGGTAATTGAAAAAGAAATTTTCATTTATTTACTTTATTAACAATGAATTTTAATACCAGAAATACTATATGTATGGTGCAGGTTGTCCCCGTTGATGATTGTAGATTGTAAACAAGCAGTTAATTTGTTGCTCCAAAATCGGGACTTAATTACACCATCTGAAGTTGTTTCACAGCTTCTGAATACTAGAAAAAAGTGTGATACGACAGCCTTTTCTTAGGAACATACCCAACAGTGCACGCAAAGCTTGTTGATTTTCAAAAAGAACTTGTAAACTTGCAGGTCCTGAAATAATTAACCTTCTATTTTCCTTATGAAGTTAACTTCTTTGTATGGTACTAACACAGTTCTAGAGTTTATGCTTGTGAGTTGTTTGACTGATTTGTAATCTTTTGTATTCATCTAAGATGGTGTTATTTAATCAGTTTATTGAATGTAGGTTGTGGAGAATAATCCCAAATACTGGGAAGTTATGTCATCAACACTTGCTGTGGGTTGGCTAGATATCGTGGTATGTGTCTGACAGACTAATGTGGTTTTATAGCTTAATAAAATTATGAAAGCATGTTAGGTTCTTTTTTTAGTTGAATTTTATGATTGGATGCAGTTTTATATTTTCACATGCAAGTTAAAATGTTGAGCTTGCATGGATCTTATCAATTAGATCAACTCATCAATTGCGAGGTTGGTAAGAGATTAATTATTATGCATTGCATCCAAAAGATGTAGCTCTATTTACCTTTAGTTTCATTGAAACATTTTAATAGTTAAGAGGTTTGTGCAAGTCTTTGTTCAGTTATTTGACTAAAATGTGTTTTAACTTGGAAACGATTGTTGTTATTATGCTAGTTCTGTTTTTGGTTGTTTCAACTAAGTAGTTCCATATATTCTTTGCATTTCCATCCGTCAAGCTTTTCACCTATTCACTTTTATGAAGGTGTTCTGGTTTCAGTGTGCTCACCAGTAGACTCATCAGGGTTTGAGAAGTATGTTACAAATAATGTTGGGTAATGCTAATAGTCTCTACTCTGCAACATGCCATTGGATAGAATTGTATATTTCTCACTTGTTATACATCAGGCCATTCACAGTGGTATGTACTTTCCTTGTATTACATATCTCGTTTATTTATTTTCTTCTGTTAGGGGTTAGAAAGCATGTACAGTTTGGCACAGAAAAGCATTCAATTGAAACCAATGGCCTCTGCACATAAGTTGATGGGGCTTATAATTAAAATTCTTGGGGAAAATACTGAGGTGACAAATGGGGATAAAATATTAATTTACAATCTCCGTTAAATTCTCTTTTTGCTTCCTTATCTTTAAGTTAGATTGTGCTTTTGTCTGTTCTCAGGTTATTTTAGCAGAATGCTTGAAAGGATTTGGTCCTTGGTAAGCTGTCATATTTCCATCTTTATATCTTTCTGTTTGTTAGGAATGCAGTTTTGGAGCCTTTTTCTGGGTGCTATTGATTTAAAATATGTTTGGTCCGATAAGCTGTTAGAAGTTATCATGAAATTCAAGCTTGGATGTTTCTGGACAATTATTAAGATCTATCTCTATATTTTGCTTATCATCATGAAGGTTGCCCATGCCATAGAGTTGTTGACTGCTGGGACTGACCATGCAGAAATGTGTTGTTAACTTTTTTAACGTAAGATATAATGGATTTTCATATAAACTGATGATTTATTTGGATATGAAACTAGAGATCGGGTTTGCATTGCCATGGATGGGGCCTTTTCAAGTGGCATGCCAATTGGAGTAAGACCTCATGAAGCAAAATATCTGTGCAAGAAATGACAGGATGATACTAGCTTTGCATCATTGTTTTCCCATATAAACTGGATTTATCTCTTTGAATTTAAGCGCCTCATTGTGACGAAGAGTTTTGAAGAATGTGTAAGATTAGAAACAAAATATCTTAGATATTATTGTTTATTATAGTTAATAATGTTGAACTACATTATATTTTACGTTAATGTAAACTTTGATTTATTATTATGGATTTCATTTTTCTTGTTATGGATTTTAAGTTTGTTGTTATGGATGTCAAGTTTATTGGAAAATGCTACAGGTTAAATTTAGGTAATAAAAGAGTATAAAACAACATTTGAAAAATTAGTTTTAATTTGCAAAATCAATTTCTTTTAGCTATAGAGAGGTAATTAGCGGCATTTGTATCTTAAAACGCCACTATAGATATGACATTTTGCGGCGTTTTTAAAAACGCCGCTATATACCAGATCTTTTGCGGTGTTTGTGGGAAAAACGCCGCTAAATCTCAACACCTATTGCGGCGTTTGTTGGGAAAACGCCGCTAAATCTCAACACCTATTGTGGCGTTTGTTGGAGAAATGCCGCCAAATATCAACACCTATTGCGGCGTTTGTTGGAAAAACGCCGCTATATATCGTTACCTATTGCGGCGTTTTTTGTTACCAAACGCCGCGAACTTTAGCGACGCTATTTGCAGCGGCGCTTTTTGCGGCGTTTGTCATAGCGCCGCAGGTGTTTTTTGCGGCGCTTAAAAACGCCGCTATAGGTATAAAAAAAATGTCGTAAATGTACAGTTTTGCTGTAGTGAGGGATGTTAATGGTCTTCGACGGATCTTCGTGACAACTTCCATGTTGATTAATGTTGGTTCATGGCAAGGGGATGATACGATTTTGATCGTAAGTCGACGAGGAACACACTGATAGTGGCGATGTACACCATGAAGTATTGGATGACGGTTGATCGATGATAGGTAACGAGAAATGTTAGTGCTTTTTGATGCAATTAAAGAATATTTATTTGAGTATTTTTAAAGGTAGCTAAGGTTGGTTAAAAAATAAGGATTGGACCCTTATCAGCAATAGTGTCCTAGCCTAGTGGTGGGGGCATGGCTCCCTTACCCTAAGGTCTTAGGGTCAAATTTCTTAAGCCTCAACTTACTCATTTTTTCTTTGTTGAGATGAGATGGGCAAATTCATGGTTGGGTCCATGAATTGCCTGAATACTTGGAAACTAACCTAATATTTTAGAATTCTTGCAATTTGGTCCCCAAAATATAATTAATTAATAATTCAAATTAAAGCTAAAACTTAGGGGTTGTGATAGTTACAACACCTATCCAAAAAAGAGATATACGAGAAAAGCTATTTCACTCTTTATTTTTATTTTTCTCTTATACATAAGTATTTGAGCTCATTGCATATCTTTCAATTATTTCTCTGGTGAACTTAATTCTTGTAAACACCTACCTTGTGAGGTTTTATTGTTTACATCTTTTATCTTTTTGTAAAAGGGAAATGATTCTAGTTTAGCCTTTAAATAACTAGGGAATTGTAAAAGTTACGTTTAAGCCTAGAAAAAAAAACAAATTAGTGAATTTGTAGAATTCCTTAGTGTGAGCTAAGGTAGTAAATGTAGATTTTATTGAGGAAGTTAAACCACTCCAAAATTTTATGCCTTATTGTCAATCTTTTTACTTCCACAACTAAATTTTTCAAAAGGCCAAATGCACTCCCTTTTGACATTTTTTTTTGGTTTATCAACACAAACTTGCATACTAACCTAGACACAAATAACAATACCTCATTCAAGAAAAAACATTTGTGTCTTTTATACAACTAATTTCATGAAAAGTAAGAGCTCTATGAATTAAAATGTTTTACAAAACAAAATAAAAATAAGGTAGGCTTCGCTTCCATAACACCTCACATGATTCAAAATAGAATACCTTTAAACACATATAAATATACATACATGGATACGACAGACCCAACAAAAATTTATAAGTGTACTATGAAGATAGGACATTGAAAGAGTGAACTATTATGCCCAATAATGAACAATTGTTCCAAATAATCCATATAATAAAAAAAAATTAGTAAGCAATTAAAATGGATGCCTTGCAAAAACTTCTCGCATTAATTTCAAATTGCCCAAATTACATAACTTTCTATGATCATAATAAGTATGATTAAGTTCTCCCGTGCGAGTCACTCTAATCCTTTGAGTCTCCCGTGTGATACACCTGAAATAATTATGATTAGGGGCTCTTGTACAAGACACTCTAATCCTTCGGGGCTTCCATGCGAGACATCCAGAATAATTATGAATAGGTGCTCCCGTACGAATTAATCTAATCTTTTAGGGTCCCGTGGGAGACACTCGAAATAATTATGACTAGGTGCTCCCATGCAAGTCACTATAATCCTTTAGGGCTCCCATGCGAGACACATTGAATAATTATGATTATATCAAGGAATTTGTATACAAACACATATAAGCATATATGTGATCTAACCATTTTTACATTTCTCTCCCTTTCATTTTGATAAATGAAAAACTTGATTTTTCAACAACTTCAACAAACAATATCGGTGAGTATTAATACTACACTTGATGGGTATCAATACTAAGGCGAGTACCGATACCAAAATAGCTTACTAGAATTCTACATTCTTGAAAATTTTCATCTAGTATCGGTACTCACATCTTGATTATCGATACTCACGGTATAATTTTGATATTGTAACTTATAGTTTCCTAGTGTCTAGAATTTTTCTAAGTATTGATAATGTTTAGACATAAATTTCACAAATTCAAACTTGAAATGTTTCTAAATTCCCCTTAATTTCTTCCATCCATGTTGAGTACATAAAATTATGTAATTTAACTTATTATATCTAATTATAACATATGAAATATAAAGAACAAGAGTTTATTACTTTAACCAAAGCTATGGGTGAAAACTCCTTCAATCTCTAAACTTTCTCCTTGCCCTTGGTTTTAGATGGATCTCCAACCTCTTTCCCTAAAATAGGAAGGTATTAGATAATCGAACACAAAGAATTCTTTGTTTACATTATGAACAAATTCATGGCTACACTCACTTAACCTAACCATTTCCTTCTCTCGTCTCTTCTCAATTAGAAAGAGTTTTCATCTCACCTCATCTTTAATAGAAAAACAATATGAAATCAATAATTAATAACTTCTTACATTCCTCAAAATCTTTGAAACTCAAGGATTTAGCTAAAGAAGAAAGGAGAATAAACTTTTTGTAAAAGGAAAAAGATGTAGAAATACCAATTTATTTCTCTCTCTCTCTCTCTCTTCTTTCTTTTCACCTATAAATCTTCCCAAATAAGGGAGAGAACAACCACTTTCTACACTAAAGGGGGAAATTCTATCCCCTGTCCTTAATTTTCAATGTTACTTTAAATTTTATCCTTTGGGCTTATAAACTTGGGCCCACCCATTACAATTCTCCCCGCTAGAATAATATTTCATCCCTGAAATTTACCTGAATTAAATGAATATGGATACTGCCGTTGCTTTAATTCTTCGATTTCTAAAGTAGCTTATTTTACGCCATGGTTTCTCCATAATATTTTTACTAAAGGTATACGCTTATTCCCCAACTCTTTAATTTCACGAGTCAAAATTCGAATTAGTTAGTCCCCATAGGTTAAAACAATGTTTACCTCAATTTTCTTCAAGGGTACAAAATGGGAGGGCTCGGACCTAAATCTCCTTAGCATAGACACATGCAAAACATTGTGAATCCAATCTAGCTCGGGCGGTAATGCTAGATAGTACATCACTAGTCTGACACGTTCTAAGACTTTGTACGGTATGATAAATCTAGGGCTTAATTTCCCCTTATGATCAAATCTTAGTACTTTATTCTACGGGGAAACTTTTAAAAATACCTTGACCGACATGAAATTTTATATCATTCTGCTTGAGATCCACATAAGACTTTTGTCGGTCAAAAGTCACTTTTAGTATCCCTTAGGGCTTAATTTTAACTTTCACATAACTTCATCAAACATAATAATGTTCTACACTTTATTCCATATAACGCTTCGTATGGGGCCATTTGAATACTCGCTTGATAGTTATTATTGTATGCGAATTCTACTAGGGTAACAAATTTTCCCGACTTCTCTTGAAGTCAATTACGCATCATCTGGGCACATCTTTCAGTGGCTAAATAACCCTTTCAGACTGTCCATCACTTTGGGGGTGAAAAGCATTATTGAAATATAGCTTGGTACCTAAGGCCTAGTGCAACTGCTTCCAAACCTTGAGTAAAACGTGGATCTCTATCCGAAATAATAGAGGTAGATACTCCATTCAATCTCACAATTTCATTGATATACAATCGAGCCAACCTTTCTAAAGAAAAATCACCCATACTGAATCATGTTAATCGATCCACAATCATCCATATTGAATCATGTTTCCACCGAGTCACATATAACCCAGTGAAAAATCCATATTGACCTTATTTGATTTCCATTACAGAATTTAAATTCATTGGAGAATGCCAGAAGACACTTGATGTTCAGCTTTAACTTACTGCATACTAGACAATTGGCTAAAAACTCAGACACTTCTATTTTCATTCTTTACCACCAATAAAACTACCTCAGTTCATGTTACATTTTGCTACTTCCTAGATGGATAGAAACTGGACTATTATGGGTCTCTTGCAAAATATTCCTCTTTAGTTTTTCAACAGCTGGAACACACAGCCGTCCTTTAAAATATAATGACCCACCATTTCTTTCTACATACCCTGCAATTCTACCCCGGCAGACTTGTTAGAGTATGTCTACTAGTTTGCCATCGAGCCATTGGGATTCTCGCACTTCTTGTAATAACATAGGTTTCATTTGAAATTATGCCATTAACCTCACATCTTCCCTCATACTCAATCTAGTAAAATAGCTCTTAACTCGATCATAACTTTATTACTCAGAGCATTGACCACTATATTTACTTTTCTCAGATGATATTTA